CAAACAACAACAACATTGTAACACTAAGGAGCTCTGGTGGCATAGTGGGTAAGGCACTTGGCTGCTAACCAGAAGGTTAGTGGTTCAAACTCTGCTCCATGGGAGGAAAATGAGGCAATCTACTTCCGTGAACATTTATGGCCTTGGAAACCCAGTGGAGGTTGCTATGATTCAGAATCGACTTGATGGCAGTGGGTTTGTTTGTTTTATTTTAACACCAGTGCCTTAGGAGAGTACTTATCCAATATTCCAATACGGTTGTTCAATAATGCTGTTTATTTATTTATTTATTTTTTTGAGTGAATGAATGCACTTACCTTCCATGCTAGATTGAAACCGTAATCTGAATCCTGACGCAGTAAGTGACCCATCTGTGACAAACCTGACCAAAGCCACATTGCCAGAAGTGTCCAGGCTGTCAGGAATGGTGTTTCCACAGAATCTGCCTAATATATTTCCTGTGGAAGTCAAATATTAAGTAAGTATATGTTCAGGTGATTGATAACCTCTCTCGGAAGTATCATACACTTACAAAGAAAATAATAAAAGTCAAAACCCTTCTCATGAAGAAATGGTAACATGAAAAAGCAAAACAACATGAATAAAAGTGGATATTTTCAAATATATGAAGAGATGTAACAAAACCACAACCAATTAGGGCAAAGGCATCTATGTGCAATGACAAAAGTTTGCTCATTTGATTAATCTGAGACAACAGAGTGACAACTGTCCATCATATTATTACTAGGATATATTACCCTTACCTTTCCTTACCTTACAGAATGGCCCTAAAATAATTGTATACAGCAGTGGAGGGACTAGCATGAAGAGGACACCTTGCCAATTCAGCACAATGTAGTCTGCAGAATAAGCTACATATTGGCCCCTGGGGCTATGGACAATGATTGTTCATGGACAGGAATCAAGAGTGAGAACGCTAGTGCTGACCAGAGCTCATTGGCCTGCACATCTCTGCAGAATCTGCATGCTTTTGCCTTTCTTGCAAGTTAGAAAACTTCAGGGGCTGAATGAGTACGTGTGAAAATAGACACTTTCAGAAAAGAGCAGACATATTTCACTGACCAAAGGTATGGTTTTCCCAGATCTCCACAAAATCTTTTTCACAGTTGGTAGAATTCTGAAGGTTAAAGTCTTCAAAATGGATTGTGAAATAGTGTCCTGAGAGACCCTGGAGATGCCACTCACAGAATAAATTGTCTCTGTAAGGAAGTGTTGGATAGCCAATGCTTTCAATGACACCACTCTGCCCAGTGACTGTTCCTCCACACAGGGCTGTAAAAAAAAGAAAGAAAGAAAGAAAGAAAAGAAAGGCAAGAAAAATTCTATTACAAATTTTTAACTTTTTATGTTTTTATGTCACAGAACATTTAAAACTTTTAGGTACCAAGTGAATGTGCCCTGAAGTTTTAAAAACTCTGAAAATGTTTCATTAGTTTCCCTCTTAATTGAAATCTACCACTGATGTAGAGAAAAAAGTCACCACAAGTCCAGGCAATGATTGAAAAGGGAAACTGAAAGACTCTCATGTGACATATTCTGTAAAGTCACATTAATTTTCTTGGAACACTGTTTAAGACCTATCAGTGACAGGTAGTTTTCATTTCAAGAACCAACTATCTAGTGTGCTATGTTGAAGATTCTAAAAACTGAGTCTAAGTTCAGCAGAAGGGGTGCTGTGGTTAATTAGTGATGCTTGCCATTTCTAGTTTTACTATCAAGTAGTTGGTATCTTCAGCCTCGAAAACTATGATTCAATTCTTTCTTATCAGTTGGATGCAATAGCCACATTGAATTATAAGCAATTTGCCTCAGGATATGAAATGACCTACAGTACAGTTTAAATATTGCTACTATTAGGCTTTCCAGTTTTTGCTGTAATAAATAAATTGGTTATTGTCCAAATCAGACCTACCAGATAATAAATTCGACACCATTGTGAAACACATTGTAGTGAATTTTCAGAATGTTTATTTTTTGGTAGTTTTGAAAATAAAGAACCCAAAACACTGAGAAGACTGATTTGTCACTAGAGAACTGAGGAGGGAAAAAGCGGTTATTCTATTAACAATGAGGAATTTATAATCACTATTGTAAATATCATTATTTGATTGCTAAATGAACAGTTTTATTGTTTAATGTAATATAATACATATTTGATGGTGAGAGAAAGAAACATTTTTATTTAACTGAATATGTTTTTCACAAACAATTTATGAAAAAATATCAAATATTCAAGTTTACTTAAAATAGTGTTTAAAGTGAGAATCAAAGTAAAAATTAAAAATGATAAATGACCTTGTGGTTTTAAACACATACATTCTTTATTTACGGGCAATCTATTTCCATAGTGATACTGCCTCGGAAACCCAAGGAGGGGTCGCTATGAGTTGGGTCCGACTCAAAGGCACATAACAACAACAACATCATCAGCATGATCCGAATCGATGGCAGTGAGTGTTGTCAACATAGTTCCTACAGAGAAAGATTTCTTTTTAAAAATGAAAGTATGATTTTTGAAAAATATCTGAACACATTCAGTCTATCACCACTTTATTACTGCATATAAAAAATGTTATTACCTATGGAATACTTAGCCTTGAACCCAACATGAGTGAAGCTGTTATCAGACTGGAATCTCAAGTACATGACTTCTTCTGAGGACAACTGAGTGCTGGGCAAAGATGTTCCACAAAACTTGGAAAGTATTGGTGCATTAGAATCAGCTCCATCCCGTAACTCAAGATAATTAGAAGTACAGCTAAAGTGGGGGGAAAAAAAAGTAATTTATAAGGGCAATTGCCTTGATATATTTTGATGATAAAGTCATCACTAACTTTCATTATTAAATCATCCCTGTGACATAAGATACTGTGACAGCTGGTTTAAGTCATTTTAGAGTATTGTATAATATTTTTCCTAATGATAAATACACTCCTTAGTTACTAGCTCAAAAAAGATAGGTTTTACATGAATCACTTGTAAGGATATTTTCTTGCTTCCATATTCTGTATGAGTTTTACAAATATAAAAATCACCCTCAGTGGACTTCCAGTGGAATAGGCAGACAAGCTACACAGAACCTCTTCAACAAAGAAAAGAGAAACCAATTGACAGAGATACAGAATATAATCCTGGAGCCCTGAGCTTTGAGAGTAAGTATAGCAGAAGTGAATAAGGCACCAAGTAGTGGAAAAACCTGAATGAAAGCAGTGAGTATGGAGATGGAGGGAGATGCGGATTGTTAGCTACTCTGACAGCACCAACAGCCTGAATATTTCCATGTGGTGCTGAGACCTGAGAATTGACCTAAAGATCAGCTGGTCACCAAGGGCTGCAGGGACAACTGCACTGGAAGCCAATGACTAGGAAGGGAAACAGCAAGGAGGGAGACAACTTGAGCTGTGCACTTCTGGCTGTCTGGAGGGTGCAGCCATTTTTATTGTTTACAAGCCATGCCCATTTGGGATATTTAAAGTGACTGAAGGTGCAGCCATTTTGAATATTTACAAGTGGCAGCCAATTTGGGTATTTAAAGTGACAGCATTCTCATTCCAATTCCAGGGACCTAAGAATAGGCTCTGTTTGCCAAGGACAGCAGGGACATACGGGAGGCTGACAACAGGAAAGGAGACAGGGGTGAGTGGATAAGTGTTGCCAACCAGTGACTACAGGAGCACAGTACCCTGCTTACTTAGATAACATCCACATAAAACAAAATGAAAATCTTGGGCAAGTCACTCTAACATACAATCACCAATTAGATATAAACACAAACATGTCACAATGTCTTGGAGACAACAGACCATCACAGTTCACACAAAGAAGGAAGATAAAGCAGGAGAAACAAGGGACCAGACTACAGACCCAGAACACATGCCCAAGGAACAAGCAGCAATGGAACTCCCTGATAAGGACTTCAAAAGAATTATATTTCAATGGATTGAGAGACAGATCAAGGATAACACTGACGAAATTGAGGAACACACAGAGTAAAACCTAGAACAATTTTGAAAGACAATATAAGAACAAAATGACAAAATAAAAGAAAAATTATAAATGATACAAAATCTACCAATAGAAATCAATTTTGAAAGACAATATAAGAACAAAATGACAAAATAAAAGAAAAATTATAAATGATACAAAATCTACCAATAGAAATCCAGAAGATAAATACTAAATTTTCAGAAATAGGTAACACATTGAAGGGGAAAGGAGTAGAATTGAATCACTGAAAGACACAATTAGTGAGAGTGACAACAAATACCTAAATACTTCTTTGGAAAGGGGTAAATCAGAAAAAAGATCAAAACAAAAAGAAGAAGAAGTTCCAGCAAGATGGTGGACTAGGCAGAAAGACTGCACAGAC